AGAGGCTCACAGGTCATTCTCATGTCCTGCACACTGCTTCAGAGTTTAAAACATTCATTCAAATTGTGCCCCAGCTGTCCTGGCCGGTGTGGCTCAGGTGGTTGAGCATCGTCCCATGCACCAAAAGGTCGCTGGTACGATTCCCGGTCAGGGCACATGCCCAGGTTGTGGGCTCAATCCCTAGTCAGGGTGCATACAAGAAGTAACTGGTTAATCGATGTTACTCTCTCACATCGATGTTTCTCTCACTCTCCCTTCTTCCTCCCCCTCTCTCTCTAAAATCAATAAAAACATATTTTTTAAACAATTGTGCCCCAACTCACTTGGAAATTACAAGCACACATTTGGGTCCTCTCCATACTCATCATTTGAGTCCCTTTATAGTTGCCAAAGTCACCTCAGAGCCAGCCAGATCCAGTACAACTCTGTCTTTGCAGGGGTAACTTTAGCTCCCACAGGGGTTAAAAAGCTTATCTTTTTTTAAAATACATTTTATTGATTTTTTACAGAGAGGAAGGGAGAGGGATAGAGAGTTAGAAACATCAATGAGAGAGAAACATCGATCAGCCGCCTCCTGTACACCTCCCACTGGGGATGTGCCCACAACCAAGGTACATGCCCTTGACCAGAATCGAACCTGGGACCTTTCAGTCTGCAGGCCGACGCTCTATCCACTGAGCCAAACCGGTCAGGGCTAAAAGGCTTATCTTGTAGTTTTTATCTCCCAGGAGTGAAGAACACCTTTGTTTTTCTCTCATCTCCTGGTATGCCTAATAGCCCCTGGGGCGTTGTAAGGTAATACTGGATGTTGCTGGTTCTGGTCCTCATGCACCCAAATTGATGGATATCAATTGAGTTCATCTGTTCCCGATTTTCTAATGATCTTGAGACAGAAGTTTGAACAATAAAGACTGGGCATGCTCAATGGCACAGATCCCCAAGGAAATGGGAGGGGCTAGGACCCAGGCCCAGTGGGAAGGGAAGCCCCAAACAAGACCTCTCTTCTCTGAGACCCAAGAAAAGGATAGTGTGGCTAGAGAGAATGTTGGAAGTGACAAGAGAGGAAACATTCACCTAATGGCCTCCATTTGCCCTAAACAGGAGTTCTTAACCAAGGGTCCACAGCCCCTTTGGAGTCTGTAGAGAAAATTTAAGGAGCCCATGGATTTGGATGGGAGGGGAGGCATCTTTATTTTCACTATCACTAACAGAAATGTAGCATGTCCTTCTGTCCTTCTAAGGGTGTAGCTACATTACTATAGCAGTACCTGTGGCTTTGTCACCAATGGAAATCAGATTTTCATACCTTACCATGGTTGTTGCAGATCTCTCAAAATAACATTTTTTGAAATCATGGTAGCCACTAAATCTGTTGATGGAGCTTGGTGTTTAATGTATTGATAAAGAAGCACATGTAAGCAGCACAATTCACCATAGCTAAGATTTGGAAACAGCCTAAGTGCCCATCAGCAAATGAGTGGATTAAAAAACTGTGGTACATCTACACAATGGAATACTATGCCACTGTAAAAAAGAAGGGATTCTTACCATTTGCAACAGCATGAATGGACCTGGAGAGCATTATGCTAAGTGAAATAAGCCAGTCGGAGAAAGACAAATATCACATGATCTCACTCATTTGTGGAATATAATGAACAACATAAACTGATGAACAAAAACAGATCCAGAGACAGAGAAGCATCAATCAGACCGTCAAACCTCAGAGGGAAGGTAGGGGAGGGTGGGAGTAAGGGGGAGAGATCAACCAAAGGACTTATATGCAAGCATATAGGCCTAACCAATGGACACAGACAACAGGGGGGTGAGGGCATGAATGGGGGGGATAGGGGATAACATGGGGATAAGGACACATATGTAATAACTTAATAAAAAAGTTAATTTCTGGGATGATGATAACATTCTATATAATAAAGAGCTAATAAACAAAAAAAATAAAGAAGCACATATAACATATGTATTTCTTTTATTTTTTAAATATATTTTATTGGTTTTTAACAGAGAGGAAGGGAGAGGGATAGAGAGTTAGAATCGATGAGAGTAGAAACACCAATGAGAGAGAAACATCTATCAGCTGCCTCCTGCACACCCGCCACTGGGGATGTGCATGCAACTGAGGTACATGCCCTTGACTGGAATCGAACCTGGGACCCTTCAGTCCACAGGCCGATGCTCTATCCACTGAGCCAAACCAGTTAGGGCAACATATGTATTTCTTTAAAATTTTTTTTAAATTTATTTATTGATTTTATAGAGCGAGGAAAGGAGAGAGAGAAATATCGATTTGTTGTTCCACTTGTTTATGCATTCACCTGGGTCTTAAATGACAGCCTCTGATTGAAATCCAATTTGCAGTGTGTGATCTGGGCTTTGGGGTTCAAAATACCATGGATACAGAGGACAGTAGGAAAGGTTGAACTGGTGAAAGATGTTTTTGCTTCTGTATTTATGCCCCTCTGGACTTGTGTTTCTCAGCAGCTCTGTCTCCTAATGTCTCTTCTAGCTACTGTGTCTCTTAGTGGCTCTCCACACCCCTATCTATCTCTGTGATCCGGCCTGGCATCTCTGTTCCCCGAGATCTCTTCAACATATTCCTATCTACATGGCTCTCAGAATCTCCATCGTCAGCTATTCATGTCTGTGTTCCAGAATCTGGTTCTCTTACCTTCCTTTGTGTTTGTACTGTAAGTATCTCTTTTCCAACTGAATTGTGCTCTCCTGGAAGGCATGAACCCTTTATTATTCCTCTGGGTATCCCCGCTTAAAGCCGAGCATATAAGAGTCTCTCAGCAACGTTTATACTTGAATGAAGGATTTTTCTGAGGAGTAAGGGACTCGCAATCTCCTGCTGCTCCCCGCCTCCCGCGGAGCTGGCTGTCTGGCCTTGGGCCAGCTAGAGAGTTGGGCGGAGGGTGTGGCATTGTGCTGCTGCTCTTGGGTTCTTTCCCCAGGTGACACAACTCTTTGAAGGCACTTTGCCATGTCCTAACCCTCTTGGTAAGAGACCAGAGCAGTCAGCACACTCCCGGACGCCCCGCCCCCTCCGCCGGCCCCGCCCCCTCC